GCGAGGGAGTGATCGTAATCCATGAAATCGAGGTCGACGAACATGTAGGGTGTGGCCTGGGGATTCGGTGTGATGCGATTGATACCCGCCATTCCAAAGATGCCGTTGATAACGTCGATCCATTCAGCTCCCCATATGATGCTGGTCGTCGGGATCTTTGGGTATAATGCTTTGATCAGGAGGGCGATGGCAAAGTGTCCGCTGAACATGTTCTAATCGAGCGTCTGTCTCGAAATGATTCCGACCGGTGGATGGTGTTTGTGCGGGAATGACGAATTTTGGCGGGTCGCACAGTTGGGACGATGATACGACACCTTCACATCCTCTCTCGCGATCGAACACAAACTACATCGCCGTCGCGGACAATGCCGTGACCTAACCTTCTCTTTCGAAAAGAACGTATCGTTCATTTATAGCGGGTTTAGACGATGATCCTTTTCATCTACTACACATGAGCTCCTATTTAGACGATCGCGATCGTGTTCATTCACGGTAAGAACCTGGTGCGTTGACGAGAAGGGAAAAGATCAATTCCTCACACGGCGTCTCTCGGCGTGCCCACCGGTTCCGTCATTCCCCTGACGCTAAAGAGGTACCACTCCACATCTCACGTAGAACTCCCCCTCGCGGACACAACTCGAAAACTCTAAAGACGTGCGACCCGCCTGCTCGAAAGCGAGCGGTTTCTCCTCTTACGTCGACTACCTTCTGCACCGTCTCATCATCACAATATCAACACACACAAGAAACAAATGGAGACCATCAAGAACGCTGCCAACTACGTTGCCGAATCCGTCCAGGGAGCTGCTGCTACCACCTCCAAGGAGGCCAACAAGGAAGTCGCCAAGGACAGCGACCAGTCCATTGGAACCCGTCTCAACGCCGGAGTCGATGCTCTGAAAGACAAGTCATCCGAGACCAGCCACGACGCCAAGGCCGAGGCTTACAAGCAGAAGGCTACCCACTAAACTCGAGATTGTTCATAAAAAGACGAATGATAGAGATGTGATTGATGTACGATCGTTTTGGATGATGAGGTGCAGATGATTATACATTCGTGCTACGCGGCGCGATATTGGTGTTCTGTGTCATGGATATGGTAGAAAGCACGGAGAAATACCATTGTAGTATAAGAGGATGATGTGACGTCAGTTCATTATCTACGAAACAACAAGAACAACAGAAACACGAGTGAGAGCGTATTCGTCATAAGACGATGCTGATCTATCAACAGTGGAAGGAACCGAACGCGGACACAAGCATCACCACGGAGCAGAGGTAATGCTTCCATCATTTTCCATCCAATCACCGTCTAAGACTCTATCAGCAACAAGTCTACGGACAGCCTAACTACGGAGGCGAATACGCTCAACAGCAAGTCTATGGACAACCTGGATATCCTCAACCTCAGGCAGGATATCCTGATCCTTATGGACAACCTCAGGCTTACGGCCAACCTCCTTATGGTCAGCCTGCATATGGTCAACCTCCATATGGACAAGCACCACCACCCGGTGCATACGGAGCACCAGCTGGTTATCCTCAACAGGCACCCGGTTACGGCGCACCTGCACCTGGATATGGAGGTAATGCACAAGGATCGATTCGAAGACAGAGATTGAAGATGCAATCAGGTGGCTACGGCGCTTACACTCAAGTCCCCGGCTACGGCTGGACTCAGCAGTTCCAACAGAACATCAACCCCGACGCAGCCAGAGCTGCATTCGAGAAGGTTCGATCACGTGCACACGTCACCATCTCTTAAAGAACTCAGGTCGATGTCAACCGCTCTGGAACTGTCGAATGGAACGAACTTCGTCACGCTTTGAGCCAGATCGGTTACACTCACGATGAAGAGACCGTCAAGGTCTTGATGTCCATGTATGATCTCGATCACAGCGGCAGTCTCGACTTCAACGGTGAGATGATCATGCAGCATGGTTGCATTACGTTTCATATGACTCATCCTCTTTACAGAGTTCACTCAGTTGACTGGCTACCTCAGCCAGAGTGGAGAGAACTTCAACAAGCACTCCCAACTGGGAGGAGCTCCACAAGGACAGATGTCTCAGAACCAAGTCTTAGAGGCCATTTCTGCCCAACATGGAGGTGATACGATGTCTAACATCACATCCATCTCACACGACGATGCAGGTTTCCTCAACCGTATCGGAGGTAGCGCCTTCGTCCAGTCTCTCATCATGTACTTTGACAGACATCGCACGGGCTACATCACATTGGGTGTCTTCTTGTCCATCTTGGCCATCATCGGAGTCCTGAGAGTCTTACACGAGAGAAACAAGTTGCCCGCTGAGAACTTTGAAGATCCATCTCAGCACCAGTCCATCATCCAGAAGTTGATGGGATTCGTCCACGGCACCAACCGTGAGATCGTTGCTTAAAGACGACGAAATAGATTCTACTCTATGAATGTGTTGGTCATCTTTGAAGACATGCAACAGCAGCCACATGATAGACATGTTTATTGTTGAAAGAAGTAGTGATAGAGATTTCAAAAACAAGGCACGATCTCTGTAAAAATGATGATGACGACATCATCGAAAGGGAGGACACGAGCACAATCACATGAGAACATGAAGAGTATTGAATGGTTGTGATCTATTTACATATGTATCATTACGATGTCTTCTCTACACGGTGAAAAATATTGGCCTCAGTGAACCCATGGCAGCGTCTGTGATGTCGCTGTCGGTGATGATGCACTCTGCGCGGTGGCCATGTTCTGAAAGTACTGCGAGAACATGTACATGATGACCATGGTGTACCACGATACGGCGGTCTGTGTCGTCTGAGGTTGCGAAGATTCGTCTCTGCCCATGGCGTTGATGTTCATCGTCTGCATTCTCTCGAGGCTCTTCGCCAAGAGAGGTGATTGGCTTATCATCTGTTGCAGGGAGAGGAGCTCCTTCTTCATTATGTCGTTCTCAGCTTGGAGGCGTGCGAGCTCGTTGGTGATCTCTGTCTTCTCGACGTTGAGATGGGTGAGCTCATTCTCTAATTCTCCCAAATGTGCCTTCTTCCTGTCCCTGGACATTTGGGCCGAGCGCTTGTTGGCCTCTAGACGTTCGCGGTTGCGCTCGTTGGCGGCAGAATTGGCTCTCGTTCTCTTCATTGGAACTGGGTTGATAGAGAGAGCTATTCAATATGAGATGGGCTTCCACATGCTTCCCATCAATGGTCTCACCTTGATCGACTCTGGGGTTTTCTTCTCTCTCTTCGGTAACCTCTGCATCTTGTATGAGCCAAGAGTCTACCTCCGGCTTGAAGTCAAAGACCTCGGCTGCCTCTAAAATGGGCTCGATGATAGGGGCACCATCTGAAGACAATTCTTCCGTATCGGGGCTCCATTTGATGTCCAATGTAAAGTCTTCTGAGTTCATCAACCCATCCACGAAGCCACCAGTGGATTGATCGAGAGTTCCTTGACCCTCCATGTCTAGCAGTCCATCAAACGAGAGTTCATCTTGCATCATCTTGTAGTGTGTGTGTCTCTCGGTTTGTGATCGTATGTGAATGCTCCTGATCGGAAGTTGAACGGGTTTCGGCGAACCCGAGCTGACGACCGCTTCGTGGCCCGTTTCCTTTTCTTGGAATCCTCCATTGCTCCGAACTTCCGGATGAGATCGTGATGGCGACATCAGAAGAGGAGAGAAAGAAGTGAACGTGGAGAGAAAGAAGTGAACGTGGAGTGATGTCACTCAGAGAGTGTGATATTGTTCCTCTTCGGTGTGGTTGTAATGTCTTCGAGATGCTTTAGAGCACCTCTCACATCACAGTTGTACCTGAAGGTCTTATCTGAACTCAAACATCTCTGCGAGCTCTTCAGCTCTTCACTTCCATGGATGGAAAATATTCATATTTAATTCCTTTTATTCTTACATTTGTAATTTCCATTGGAAGAACTTTCATTGAAGCGGAAGCCGCCGTCTCATCAATGTCGACATGAGCTCTGCCCAAAACCAACTACGCTCAATGTCGACACAGAATAGTCCGCTGAGGGAACCCGCTTATCACTTTTCAACCATCACCGCAACTGTAAGCAGCCCGACCCTTCCTTTTCTTAGAAAGAACTCATGAAGTCCAACAGAACCAACACAAGCGTCGCCGTGAAGAACAACATCAACAAGACCATCAAGAAAGATTCGAAGATCAAGATGGAGGCCAACACGTTAGAAGTGTTCTTTGAGATGCCCCAGACACCTATGAACACGTCACAGTACATCATGAGCCTTCGGGTAGAAGATGAGACAGCCAAAACCCTCTCAGAAGATCGAATGATTTCCAACTCGTTCGGATCTATGATCGGTGTGATGTAAAACGAAGCGTGATGGGAACCCCACAATCGCATAGTTTGAACACTCTACACTTGATTATAGGTACGATATACGGATAGGACAATACCAGAGAGACAACCACAAGCCCCGGGCAAGGAGAGGAACACTCGATCGGCCAACGGCGAAGGAGGTGTAGTTCGCCAGGCGAGCTTCATTTTTCTGTAGATAAATCTTCACGTTCTGTAACTTTTCCTTCTTCTTTTATTCGCGTTTGTGCTCGTCAACCGAACTGATCAAGGAGACCATCCATTCATCAGTCTTCGCATTTGTGGGTTGATTCTCTATCTGCCAGAAGATGTTTCGTGATGGGATGACGAGCGAAATTGAACGCAGTAGTCGAGTGATCTACCACGCAATCATGTATTCCATCGGCTCAAATGAGAACTCCTTTGAAGACATCACAGACGCCTTCGATCATACCAGAGTAAACTCCCATTCCCAACTCGTGAGGTAAGCAACCACGCGAGATGCTAATACTGCCTTGAATGACCACACGGGAATCGAACATCACACGAGAAGACATTCACATCTCGGCGCTATTCACTTCATAGCATGAAAACTGATTGAGAACAGCAACTTATGAGCTGCTTCGACATTTTTATAAAGATATGCGTCATGCGGAGCAACTGTTCATGTCAACAACAAGCATTCGTGGTCTAATGGTATGATGTCTGCCTTCCAAGCAGGCGAACCGGGTTCGATTCCCGGCGGATGCACTCCCTTTTGCTGGTTCTGCTGATGATTTGCAGATCAGGATATCATCGTCTGACGTAGGGGAAACGGAGAAGCAACGCATGAGACAACCTGATGCGAAGAAGTATCACAGTCTCGATCAGGTCGTGGAACACTTACGAAGCCCCAAGTGGCTGGCATTGTCGTTGTATCCATTGCTGGAGTGGTCGTATTCCTGATTGTGAAATACAAGAGAAGACAGGGATTAGCTCACTAGGTACTGACTCAATACGAGTGAAGATGATGCATAAAACAAGCCGCTGCTTCATTTTTTATGAATTCATGAATCTGCTAATGACGAGTTGCGTTGGTAAAAATTGAACATCCATTGGTTCTGATGTCGGAGTGGTAGGTTCGCGCTCGTGAATCGCGAGCGTTTGGACTGCGATACAATGCCAGAGCACGTGGAACCCACCGTCATATCTCAGGTGAGGAATATATTCTCCATGGAACGAAATGGTGAAGAAATATAGATGAGCAACTACATCGATGTAGATCGTCAGATTCTAGATGCACCCAATCGCCTCTGCGTGATGATAAACGTTGATGATGTTGTCCTTGTGTGACTCTCCATAACACCACTCGATTGGTCGAAACGGTGAACTGTTTCATCATTCCATCGAATATCCAATACTCTTAGTTGATCAGTTCTCCTGTCCATCATGTAAAGATGCACAAACAATGAGATCGTAGACGTGTTACAGAGATGATCGATCATCAACCTCGAAGGAAAGAAATAAAACAGATTCGATACAATTCGATTTATTCAAAGCGTCGCCAGGTGCAGTGTGTATCTGTGATGTCTCATGCACATTTGAGAGAAGAAGGAACGCCGATGTTCTACCCGGGCTGGGTACGGCCATACTCCGTACACCACAGCCTCGTCAGACACTCGCCTGCCTTCATCGTAGAGGCCCTCGAAAGGGTTGACACGGCAGACGATGTCTACCTGTCTCTCTACTCCGGCCAGAATCAATCACATTCGTGAATCATCTGTGCGGTCGATCCGAGGACATACAGTCTTCTGCCCGAAGGCATACTGGCCGTACATCATCGTTCGTTTGTCGGTCTGACTCCTGATAGCAGCATCGTCACCTCACATCGCCAACTCAGGGACAACAGTGTGTGATCATCCTCGAGAGGAGAGCAGAGCTACTTGTGATCACTGCCGTTTGAGAGGGTCGTTGGATGTGGCTGGGGACACGTTCTTGTCTTCTCTCTTTCGTACTTGTGGACATCTTGAGGTGTTGATCCGGTATGATGAAAGATTCCGTTGAAGATCTGGTCTCGGGGTGGGGCCGATAGATAAATCGGCTCTTGAGATGTTCCCGGTGAGATGGCAAAGAGGTTGTAAGCTCTTACGTTCTTGATCAGAAGAGACCTTGTAGAGTAATGCGTTGGCCGTTGTGACTTGCGTCTCAATAGAGATCCATGTTTGGTATTCCCATCGTCATTGTGGCTTTGAGGCTATTGTTGGCTTGCTGCTTTGTGTGTTAAGCGGAAAATGGTTTACCGGTGCCTCAAGCTGCATAAAATTCTGTTCTCGTCATCTTACCGTGAGATTCGGGTTAATGTCGAAATTATTCGAGGAATTTGAGATCACGTGACCGGGCGTTTCGCCCCGCGTTCGGATCCAGGTCTCCTCGTTGCAGATGCTCGATGGTGGATTCTGATGGCTTCTATACGTAGTGAGTAACTGCTTTGAAGTGGAAGCGGTACGATGTGTTCACTGAATTTGTGATCACAATCAGAGAGATCGAAAGTCGAGTGTATGTTCCGATGATTCGGCTTCTGAGATCACCAGACCCACAAATTGTATACAATGTTTAGAAGAGTCCCTTGGCGGTGGTAATCTGACCGAATCAATCAAAGCGTTGAGCTTCTTGACATGGTTTCAATAATTTGTGACAAGCTGGTGAACACGTGCTCGCGCATCACTCTTTCGATGATCAACTGCCAGAGAGGTTGCAGTGTCTTCCTGACACAGACATTCAGAACCTCATTTGGGTCGAATCTTTTCGTCAGGCGCACACTCCCCCGAACACCAACACCTCTATACAATGGGACGTCCATCGCGAAGCCAGCGACATATTATAACACGTTGTCTCGATATTTATCTTCAGAGGTGAGATCGGTTGTCCAATTGACCTCCTCAAATCATCCAGGTAACTCAACAATCTCAACCTGCAGAGGTGCGGCGTTGCTCTCCCTCTCATTGACTGACACCTTATAGAGTGTCAGAGTATCTTATCAACATGAAACAGCACAGTTTCGCATCTATGACGGCTACACTTCGAACCAGTTACTTCGCGATGTCATCAGACACTTTGATCTGGGCAAGACTCGCAGTCGAGAGAAGAAGCCATTTCAGTTGCTCGATGCATCAGGTCTCATCGTTCCATCTTCGGGTCAATTGACAAAGATCTTTGCACGTGAGACGGAGGTGAAATGTCACACATCATCGTCCATCAGTCTGAATTCTCCAGCCGCAACTGACGCTGAGACCGATGAACAATGGAGGAAGAGAGGAAGATGTCGCAGCTGATACACCAAAGAGCGAGACATCATCGACCGTAGATGAGGTTCCACACAAGGAGAGAGAGGTGAAGAGGAAGAAGAAGAAAGTTATGAGCGTCGAGCAGGCCAGAGCAGCTGAGGAATTGGCGGAGGTGACATCCATGACAATGTGATGATCCTGTGACACCTTACAGGTGAAAATCGTCACGAGAGCAGAACCAGAGGAACCAAAAGTCACAGAAGAAGAGGAAGAATTATCAGGTGATCTCATCTCATCTCCTCCTCGTAACGATATCAAATCTTATTCAACTCCGAAACAGAAGAAGCATTAAGAGTCAGACTGATGGAGAACTTGTCTGGATTTGTAGAGGACGATTGGGTTAGGGAGGAAATCAAAAACAGTATATTTTATTTGGAAACGACACACGAGATACAATCTTCCTTTTACGAGTACCGAGAGAGTCTATTCAATGGAGACGAGAACATATTATCCGTATTGTACAGAGAGAAAGAGGTTGCAGGTGAGACCCGAGTCGGGTGTCTGTCCCTCACGCCGCGCAGCCCTGTACAGGAGGATCTTACCTTTCTTCCTCAATTTTCTCGCGTCACAGGTGAATCTACATCGTTGTAGATGGAATATGAACCATCATCAGGTCAAATATTTCGACCCAGACGAAGTCACACAACGAACCACGACCAACATGACTGAGCCCCACTTGTGGTACGTAGGTGCCAGAAAGATGAAGCGAAAGTTTGTCTTGCACGTCGGCCCCACGAATAGTGGTAAGACGTATTCTGCTCTGGAGAGATTAGCCACAGGTGATCGATCACGCATGATCGTCATCATCGATGACGAGTGACACGACACAGCGAAGACGGGATTGTATTGTGGACCGTTGCGTCTGCTGGCTTCTGAAGTGTTCGAGAAATTGAACGCGAAGGGAGTGCCTTGTAATTTAGTCACGGGGCAGCAGAAGATCGAGGTGACCGGATGTAGAGGGAGACGCTGAGATGTCGCAGGTGCAAGACGCCAATCATTACGCGTGTACGGTAGAGATGACGGACGTTCGTCGACACGTGGAGGTAAAGTCGACAT